TTTTTTAGTTTTTTAGTTTTTAAATTGTCATTGGGTTTTAATTGAATTGTTTTAAATTGGGCCAGTTATGTACGTCTTTTAATAATTTTAAATTTTGTATTGGCATGTGTTTTAGTTCTGGCTGTTCACTGCCCTGAGTCCACTAGGAGAAGGGCGGTATACAAATTGAAATAAATAAATAAATAAAATCAGAATGTACTATGACTGAAGAGCACTGGGTAAATACAATTAGCTGTTGTTTGTTGCAAAAATAGTCACAAAATTTCTACATCCCTATCTTTTTACCTTTATTATTTTTTATTTATTTTTTTGCATATGAAGAATTTGTGGCAAAATTGTTTTAGACAATGTCTGTGTATTTCCAAAATTTTTATGAATGTTCCAGATGGCTCTAATTAAGTTGGTTTTGGAGGAATACTACTTCATTTTGAAATTATTCAGGTGTTTCTGAAATTAATCCAATTTATATTATCTTCAGTGCATACCCTGTATACATACTTGTATTCTCTAATGAAATTTCCCCAATTTGGAAAAAATAGCTTTTGTTTTATTGGAATACAATGCATAATTACTTGGGCATGCCATACCTCTAGGGCAGATTCCTTCCTATATATTCAGAATCAACAGTCATGTGGCTGGAGATATGCTCAGGGGAATATTGAACAAAGACTGCAGTAACAACTTTTTCCTTACCTCCAGGACCTATTGGTTAGGAGGGGGAAAACCCAGGGAGCTTATTTCCTCCCCTCTCAAGATCTCTACCCCCGGCGGCCATAATAGTCACAGAAATAATAATACATACTACAACAATTGCATTGGCTTTGAATCAGAGTTTAAATACAGTGGTACCTTTAATATATGTCTCAGTTCCATTACAACGAATTAGAGCTGCTGTACATATTGCTAATCAATACAATTTCCACAACTAATATAAGCAGAGAGCTTATCTAAATCAGATAGTTTACCAAATTTGTCTTGTAGCTCCTTGATTTCAGAAAGATTTCCCAGCATGGAAAAGATAGTGGTGTCTTTCTCCTTTTATTCCCCCAGATATAAGTTTGGTTCTCACTTTATTGCTTTTCTGCAAGACCTTGAAGACATAGTTTTGTCAGCAAGTTTGAGGATCTCGTTCAGAACCAATCTAGCGGCTTGTCTGATTCTGTTGTTGCTGCTACCGTGGAATAAGGGTTGGAGTGGTGAATTTTAACTGTGGATTTTTAATGTTCTACGTCGCCCTGAGTCACTACATGTGATTTGGACAGCTATATTCATTTGTTTAATAAATAAAGGGTGATTGAAGTATCAGGGGGAAAACGCAGCACAGAAATTAATCTGTAGAAAAGAGAAGTTCTTACACCCTTCACATTTTTTCCCCAGTTTATACCCAGTGCTCCTCTTTGTCTCCTATTTTATAACTGAAAACGTTAGCTTGATTTTTCAACGGACTAGTGCTACAATTTCACAGTACAGTTTTGGAAGAGGCCGAAGTGTTTGGGGTAGTACTTGTTAATGGAAGTCAATCTACATGATTCTTGATCATTGTATTCATCAGTCACATCTTTATCTTCTACTGATCTTTGATACGTCATTCCTTCAATCCACCCTAGCATTCTGTTGCAGTTCCATATACCTGTGCCGCCAGAAGGACTGTATGTGTGGATGCTTCATTAAACTGGCTATTTATCATGCAATTCATTAAGCTCATTATCCATCATGATCACCAGAAAAGGTCATTCTTCTGGGCAAGCCTGCAAAGAGATTGCATTCCAATCAAGTGTAGATTTGCTCTGATTCAACTAGCCCTTGATTTCCAGGGGGTATTGTAGCTACTCTTCCTGCATATCCTTCCTGCATTAATATGTACAGACACTTTCTATGGCAACCTAAAACACTCCGTTATTAGTTCAAATAGGACTGTCGTTTCCCACCTAAAAATGTCTTTAGAAATAATGCTACATTATGATGTAATTCCCCGGGCCATTCTGTTTTAGGAATGCAGCCAGATCTGCCTTATTGATACCTGAGGCAGAAACAAATCCCATTTGATTGCTAAAGTAGCCAAATAAGATAAGATAAGCATTGTAGAATAAATCAGATTTTCTTCTTATGGCCCACGTATGATTTTGTAGAGCCATTCAGAGTTTTTTTTAAAGGGGGAAGTTTACAAAAAGCTACTCACAGATATTAGAATAACTGAATGTGCTATACCAGAGTAAAAACATGCGATGTATAGAATTAGATGTGGAGAAAACTGGGGTTTTTTTTATTTAAAACCTGACACACTTTTTGAATAATCCCTGAAATCTCTTGGCAGTATTACAATTCAATCAGTTTTTACCATGTATGAAATAGTAGCTGGATGGTGAAAATGAAATGAGGAATGAATGGACATATAAGTATTATATGTGACTAGCATAGAGTATGTGAACGGGTTGTGAAAACAAGTATTAATATGAATGACCTAAGTAAACAGCAAGTAAATGAAATGGTAAGTAAATGGCATACAGTACGTACTATGTGAATGAGGAACATTTATGAATATTTTAGAGGAAAATAAATATTAAAATAAATACTTTATTTTAGAGGGTGGGCAGTGTATAGTAAAAGGAATCTCTGTATATTTGCAAGTAGAGCCTACAGCCTACCAGTCAACATCAAATGTCACCTTGTAGACAGAAAAAAGTTCCCGCTTTTATTTGTAATCCATAAAAGTAAAGGGCAAAACAAAGTTTCCCCAGCATCAACTGGTGTGGCAAATCTGTGCAAAAATATACTAACTTGATGGTTGGAATCATGCATTGTGCTTTGCAGAGGCCTACTTTTAAGGCTAGCCTGGAAATTTTAGAGAATGCAGAATTCTGACACTTTAGGGGAAGTGTATATTATATAGGAGAAGATACACTGACTGAAAGCATGTTTGAGTGAACGTGAAGGTACTTGACCTACATGGATTTAAGAGTACCTGATTGTTTTGCTTTTATTTTCTGGGCATTAAGATTACTGGGGTATCATTTTTATGGTCTCACATTTTTCAGGAATTCTCTGCCCAGTAACCTGAGACATGATGTTCATGATAGAGTTCATCCAATTATAGAATTGCTTTCCAGTTTAATTAGGGTTGGTATATAGTTTTCTGTGTGTGATGCAAAATTAATTTGTTCATGTTGTCTATTTTTTGCAGAATTTCTTCTGCCCTGTCTTTTGTTTATTGTTGCTGCTGATCCTTTTTGCTGGTTTTTAAAATTGTATTTTTTTATTTCTATAGTCACCTATCTCAAGAAGTGATTCTGGGTGACCCACATCATAAAAAGTAAAAATGTTTCAAATCATCCAAAATAAATATATATGATTGCCAAATAGAACTACTCTATGGATGCTAATACAGACAAGAAAAGGGACCCTTAACACAGTCAGGGCCCGAGATCCAGGTGCACAACTAGTCTTTTAAACTATGGTTTAAAAAAGGTCAGCAGAGTCAGAATAACAGAATTGAAAGGAACCTTGGAGATCTTTTAGTCCACTGCCTGCTCAAGCAGGAGATCTTATACTATTTCAGACAAATGATTGTCCAATCTCTTCTTAAATTTGGTGCACCCATAACTTCTGCAAGCAAGCCGTTCCACTGATTAATTAATCTAAATAAGGGTCATCCTGGTCACTTAAGGGAGAATGTTCCAGAGCTATGGCAGAGAAAGCACACCAGATTACATTCCTTGGTTGATGGGATCCATAGCATATCCAATCTGTAGAACCAAATTGGATTAGGTATGAATGGTTTTAAAGGTGAAAACCAGCACCTGGAATTGCACTTGGAAGTACACTGGCAGTCAGTGCAGCTCATATAGCAACGATGTTGCATATATCAGACACTCTTTATTACCTATGCAGCTGTATTGTGTACCAGATGATGCTTCCAAATGTCCTTCAAGAGCAGCCCCATATGGATCACATTGTTTTAATTTTATGATTAAAATTGTTTAATCTGTAATTTTCTTTTTAAAAATTCTTAAATTGGAATTGGGTTTTGTAGTGGTTAGGGTTAAATGTTTTAAATATGTATTTCCATTCACAAAGGAAGACAAAAAAACACACAAAGAAAGCTATGTCCTAATGAGATGTATCAGAAGTGATTGCATATATTTAGCATGATTGAGTTTCTCTCTGCTCTCAAGAACTGAGGAATTTTTATGGCAATTAGGATTATTCATGCTAAGTGAAGATTTTATTCCTAATGTTCCTTGAGGTTCTTTATCTACCAGGCCAATGGACAGTTTCTTTAAAAGTTTGCCATTTTGAATCTAGCATAGAGCCATGTTATATTTTGTATAGTAATTTTTTTTCAAAAGCTATTGTTTTTATATCTTTTGCAGTGTATAAAATACTAATTGCTAAAATGTATGTTGGTAGTAATAAATGCACATATCTATTTTGGAGAGGGTTTCTTTTTTCATGTGTTATTTTATTAAGCACAGATGTGTTTTTATATATATGAACATATATTTCATATAAAATGAATAAAGGATTATTGAAGTTAGACTATTAATGCTAATATAATGTTAATAACAGTAACAAAATTTATAAATGTTAAAAAAAAGAAGGAAAAGGAAAATTCCCCTAAAAATAATATAAATATTTAATTTTTGACTTCTCCTGAAACCAGAAACAATAAAGGATTATCTTGAATACAGATGCCACTAACTGAATAATATTAATTTAACACTGAAATACAAATATACAAATACATGCAGCATAGTGATGTAATTGTTTTCATTCCACCTCAACACATATTTTCAATTCATTTGATTTCCATTTAGGTTTATGGTTCTTTCCCATTATTTGTAATTTTTAGGTTTATCAATAGTGTATAATAATCATTATAAGTAATTTTGTGTCTCTACAACATGTTTTTTTAAAGTAGCTCTTTTATGCATGCAAATTTTAATGAAGTTCACCTTAATTTAAAGACATTGACTTTAAACTCTTCCTTCTTTTCTTTGTAGATCAAATTATGACATCATCATCCAAAGGAATTTTCCGGCCATTTCTATTTCTCTTCATTGTGCTTGGCTGTTTCATGGCCTGTCTGCTGATCTATATCAAACCCACAAGTGGATGGATCTCTAGTCCTATTGAATCAGCCAGCTCGGTTCTAAAGATGAAGAATTTCTTCTCAACCAAAAGTGATTACATTAATGAAACAACAATTCTGATATGGGTTTGGCCATTTGGACAGACATTTGATCTGAAATTCTGTCCCACTTTTAATATCCATGGATGCCATCTGACAACGGACCGCACACTATATAATCGGTCTCATGCAGTTCTCATTCACCATAGAGATATTAGCTGGGATCTGACTAATTTACCTCAGCAGCCTAGACCTGCATTTCAGAAATGGATCTGGATGAACCTGGAATCTCCAACCCATACTCCACAAAAGAGTGGTATCGAACATTTGTTCAATTTGACCCTCACCTATCGCCGGGATTCAGATATTCAGGTGCCTTATGGCTTCATGATAGTCAGCACAAATTCCTTTGAGTATGAAATGCCAAATAAAGAAAAACTTGTATGTTGGGTAGTGAGTAACTGGAATCCTGAGCATGCTAGAGTTAAGTATTATAATGAATTAAGTAAATATATAGAAATCCATACGTATGGACAAGCATTTGGAGATTATATCAGTGATAAAAATTTGATCCCGACTATTTCCACTTGCAAGTTTTACCTTTCCTTTGAAAATTCTATCCATAAAGACTACATTACAGAGAAACTCTACAATGCTCTTTTCGCTGGATCTGTGCCAGTCGTTCTGGGTCCTCCCAGAGAAAACTATGAGAATTACATCCCTGCTAATTCTTTCATACATGTGGAGGATTTCCTGTCTCCAAAGGACCTTTCAGAGTACCTTCTGATGCTTGATAAAAACACTAAACTGTATATTAGCTACTTCAACTGGAGGAAGGATTTTTCAGTGCGCCTTTCTCGATTCTGGGAATCACATGCATGTCTCGCTTGTGACCACGTAAAGAGACACCAAGAATACAAGTCTGTTGGTAATTTAGAGAAATGGTTTTGGAACTAAACCGTTATCCGTTTTTTCCTGCACTTTATATTAAGGGGGAGGAAAGCTGTCAAAATCGCCATCCCAAGATGAGGAGAGAGGGGGGAGGAAGTCCTGAGTAAAGCATTACTGTTTGTCATCTGGCCTTCTTCTCAATGTGGATCAATAATTCACTTAAAGCCTTGAAACCTTAACCACTCTCCTTCCTTTCCAGATAAAGATGTCTTTCAACAAAATAATAGTGGTGTTATTGGTCACTTTCTGTTTCATTTATTTGTTGAAGAAGTGCTCACCATCTTTCAGACTCTTCCTATATTTTATTGAGCCGAGATTTTGAAAAGGAATTAAGAGTAATAATCCAACATTGGCTTTCCCTTCTTTAAACAATCCAAACTGTGGTGATTTACTGTTACATTTTAATCATACATTTACTGTCCCATGTGGGAAACCAAAAAATAGCAACATTTGCAGGATGTACTTATGGGAGATATGTGAAATAACTTGGGTGCTTTTAAAGACCATGACATGGCTGCATAAATTATGCCATCCTGAACCTCTGCCACGACATTGTTTTATAATTTGTTGGAAATCCTGCTATGTTTGACAGTGTTCACTGAAGAGTATGCTCTTATATATTATTTCTTGTTTCATCATTTTTGCAATGCTGCATCACTGTCAGTTACATAAGGCAATCATGTTTATATTGATTAAAGCAGGGTTTTTTTCTTGCAGGGCAGCAAAAGAAATTGGGGAGAGGGATACGAAGCTAATCAACATAAAACAACGGGACCAAACTATTTATTATGGTTTAACAAATATAATTTATGAAATAGAATGATACATCCGGATATCCAGAACAATGTTTGATTCTGTTTTATAAACTAACTTTCTAAATTGTTTATAAATGGTTGTGTCTTGTAAATTGCTTTTGTTTGTAGAACATCTTGCTTACTCCATGGGAAGCAAGCTCATTCACAGTGATAGACCCTGGCTTCCAAATGCCAGACATGGTGATCAAAACTTAAATCGTATTTTTTTTTTACTGTAATTGCACTGCAATGCTATGGATATTAGAAAGGAATGAGGCTTTGATCATTTAGTCACATCTTCCATTTTAAAGCCAGTGACTCCCATTGTGGTTGCTCCAATGGGAAGACTTGCATTCAGTTTCACATGTTTGGTTAATCCTTCATCTATTTCAATGATTTTTAAAAAATCATTATAAAAAATGATTTTTTGTGTGTGGGAAAAAAAGTAACCAAAAATGGGAAAATTAAACTTGCACTGTAATGCTGGATAAAAATATTTATCAGTCTGGATCAGAGGAAGCAAGCTAACCACTCGTTAGTCTAACTTATAAATGCGTAAGTCCTTACAAGATGAGAAGCTTCCTTGGCTTTTGTACTGGTTTCCAAAAAAAAAAAAGTTTAAAAGCCAATCTAAGACAACAAATACTAAGTTTCATTGAGTTTACTTTTGTATTAATCCAATTTTGTATGCATTCCCCAAATGTCCATTTTGTCACGTTAAAAAGCTTATAGTATGGCAATTCTGAGTTTTTATCCAACTTTTTCCAGAGGTCCAATTTGTCTTAGGTCTTAAGAAGGGCATAAGGGTTTAAGGCTAAGAGTTTAAGTAATGTTATTGTCCATAGTTTACATTTATTTCTAAAATGAAAACATGAATTGCATATGTTTTATGGATGATCACATTTTCCTGTTGACATTTTTTGCTCCCGAGCAGCAATAGGCATCACCTTCATAAAATGGAACACTGATGAACAATTATTGATGAAACATTTGAGAGTAGAGAAGAAGGCAAGTTAAGAGATTATCAGCTTTATTAGTATTGCCAATATTCAGCAGAGCAGTTTGTTATTGTATGTTTGGTTTGGAAACGGATGACAGATGAGGAACTTGCTTCCATCTCTCATTATAACATATAGCTTTCAGTGACCTATAAAACATGTTAATTTTTAATTACTTTTACTAGTGAATACAATCTGCAGAATGGTAAGTAGTTTTCAAATTGCAGAGTACCGTTAGGTTACTCTGTTCAGCATTTTACAGCAAAGAATTTAGGTTGAAGGTAAATATTTTCAAACAAGTATTTGGGAGATGTATTCAACCTTGGATTTCAAAATGTTATTAATTGACTTAACAGTTTGTGGCTTGATTTCATGTTCTTTTCTGAAGCAATTAATTCGGTTTGTGTTTAACATGGAATGAATATATATGTAACTTCTTCAGGCAATGCAAGCTGATAGTATGGAGGAGTCTTTATTTAGAGACTATACCTCCACACAGTTTTATCAGTATCAAAAAAGGAGGACTTAACAGTTAACTCAAAGATATTTCATAAATTATATTTTTTGCTATTCAACTAAAGTAGTCCCTTTTAAATATAGTTTAAATGTATTTAACTTCTGATAAAAAATAAAACACTGGACAATTAAGTTTACTTTTAGGAGTGTTTCTTGGAAATGATTTGTTACGATGTCACAGTGAATAAAGAGAACCAGTTTGGTGTAGTGGTTTAGAAATCAGGAGACTGTGAGTTCTAATCCCACCATAGACATGACAGCCGGCTGCCTGACTCTGGGCCAGTCATTCTCTCTCAGGCTAACCTCTCACAGGTTTGTTGCGTGGAGAAAATAGGAAGGAGTATTAAGTGTGTGTTCACTACCTTGAATTACTTACAAAATAATAAAGATGGAATAAAATTCAAATAAATAATTGTTCACATTTTAAATTTGTCATAAATCCCAGAATCTGAAGAAATGGAATGACAACAGTTAGCCTCAAACATTAGAAAATAGATTTTGTATGGTGATATTTCACTCTGCGTGTACACACATGTGAATTTTTCACATAAGATTTTCTGGACTTCCAAGTTTCAGTTTGTGAAATCAGCATTTTAAACTCAAAAATAACATTTAATTCAAGGGTTTCCTGAAAAAATAGTTGAGATAAAACGTTTAAGTCTATCCTCATGAGACAAGGATTATGTCTGATGGTCTCTGTCCCATTAACTTATTTGTTCATATCATACATACATATGCCACATATTTCTCCTGTATACTGCAGCTTTAACGACAGGGAAAACCAGCAAAGTCTGTCATGGAGGATCAGGCTTTTTTCTGTAAACAAGTTTCCCACCCAATAAAAAAAAAAAGAGCAGAAATAACAAAATGGAAGGTGTTAATCTAAGTGGACTCTGTTCGTTCAATTGTATTTTCATCAGAAGATCCATAGCCAATGCATTGCCCCATAAATTTGCTCCATTTTCTGTAACATGTAAACACGTATGCAATGCTTTATAATCATCCAGTCTATGATTGCAGAATTAAAAGATCCTGGTTTTTCCTCAGTGCTAAAAAAAAAAATGCCCAAATGAACTTTTGCTATGTGAAATTAATTATCCAAGATTCATAGTACATATGTAATCAAACTTGGTGCTAATGTACCTTATGTTAACTGTTCTGAACTCTGGACTTTCAAATTGTTCAACAAAATATTTAGATAAATGCATTTGCAAGGTTAATCTTTTCAATTTTTTAAAGAACATGTTCAGCAAGTTATAAATGTAAGAAAGGTTACATTCCTTTTGTACCAGTTGTAAATGGACATCATAGAATCCATGGAAACTCATTCAAGCCAGTGGCCTCATGAGATACATAAAATACATTTAAGAACAAAAGGCCATACAATTAGAATGAAAACTGAAGGTGATGCTTCCTTAAGAATATGTTTATTTTTTCATATATTGTGTCACTTTAAAAGAATGTTCTCTTATAGGAAACTGTGAATCCTGTCGGTTCACCAGCAGTTGCATTAAGAAACTAGAAGAAAAACTTTGAATATTCGTATATGTGACAAAATGAAATTTGAACTTTTGGAAAATATTTGTATTTGAGAGTGAAAGTTGTGGCTTTAGTCCAAATAGAAAGACGCTGCTTTCTGGTGTCATGGGAGAGAAAGGGATCCCTTAAATTGCTAAGAATTTCATCTCCAGTTCTTCGTGCCATATTCTTCAGTATTTTCAGTAACTCCAGAGAATTCAGACTTGGGTTTGATAAGTAAGGTGATGCTGAGACTGCAAGATCTAGTCCTCCGTGAGTGCTTATGTGTGTAGGTTTGTGCTTGTATAACTGTTGAAACTACCTTTTGATGCCATTTGTACATTTGGGGAGGAGGGTGCAAAAAGCAATATGCAAAGCAAACTGTATTATTTTGTTTTGGGCATATTACTTTCAAAAGAGCATAGAATATTGAAGTGTTTAGAGCAAGTATCTTTTTCTGATGATTAAAATATCATTTACACAATGTCATCTGCAGCATAACAAAGAGCACAGAGTTGTTTCTTTTTCACTGATTTGCTCCGTTTGTTTCCTCAAAATTTTAAAGTATCTGTAGATTTTAAATTGTATTTTGGCTTCAGATATGAACTTTTCATACAAGAGACATTTAACAGTTACGGAGTAGCGAATTCTCATTGCATATAAATTTGGCTCATTAAAAAGTGTTACTCTTAATAATTGTTGCCCTGATTGTGTGAAAATGCTTCTTTCATAGTACAAACATAGCTATAAGAGATTATTCTCTTTCGGTATTTTGCTTTAACTCTGTAATAGTTAAATTTTAGGTCTTCAAGATGTGTTCTGCACCACCTGAAACTATAGGATAAATACTCAGTTTACAATGCTAATTGCTAAAGATGAACAATTTAAGAAAGTAACACTGGAAAAGGATAAAACTAGGATATTAATTCATCTCTGTCACTCATACATTAAAGTAACATTTCTGGAAATTAACTTAATAAATTAATGTACGGAACAAATAAACTACATTTGCAAAATTACTGTTAATGTATGTATGTAATATGTGCAAGAAATGCATCCTTCTATGTCATATATAAATTTTAAAAATGATATATACTGTACCTTGCTAAAACATTGCCACTTTCTGGATTGGAAAATAGTTATAATACTAGCTCTTAATGAGGCCCATAATTTCCTTGTGTAGAACTGAATTTAAGTGTACACTAATTATATTTAGGAGCTGCTGTAATGGAGCTCAAATATTGGTAAATGTGTACTTATTGATGGAGTTTGTTACTTTTGTAAAAGTTAAAGGATATATAATCCTAAAACTACATGAAGTAGAATTAGGGCTACCTGAGCAAAAATTGTGTCACTTGAAACTCTTCTGTATAGACAAAAGGTTACTGAATTTCTAATGATACAGTTGTTTTGAATTTCAAATTTATGCCTTCTGCCACAATATGAAAACTCAACTTGTCAACTATAACCCATCGCCTATAGTGCTAAATTGTTTTTAAGGGATGCCATCTTAATTTCCTAATTGGACTAATTTCCAATTAAAAAACACACAAGATTTTATCCTACAGTTTATATGTGTGTTTTATATAAAATGTGTTTCACATGAAAATAATTTCTTAGGGAAAACAATTTTTTTAATTACAAGATTTCACATTTGTTGTGTTTAATCCCCTTAAATATTTTAAAACTAATTCATTTACAAAGATTCATAAAGAAGTAATAGCATTGCGATCTGAAGAACATATGCAAACGTTTGTAGACAATATAATTCAAGGCAAACTGATTGTGACAACTATTTTTTTTTTTTTAAATTTGATTTATATGCCGCCCTTCTCCGAAGACTCAGGGCGGCTTACAATGTGCTCAGCAATAGCCTTCATCCTTTTGTATATTTATACAAAGTCAGCTTATTGCCCCCACAACTGGGTCCTCAATTTACCTACCTTAGAAAGGATGGAAGGCTGAGTCAACCTTGAGCCTTGGCGAGATTCGAACCCTGCAGTAATTGCAGGCAGCTGGTCTTAATAACCAGCTTAATAACAGGGTGCCTTAAACCCCTGTACTACCAAGGTTCTGTAGTACATATAATTTTAGTTCTTGATATTCAGAGTTATAGATAAAAGTATCTTCACTTCATACAAAGGCATTTGCAAATCTATACTGGATGATCTCGTTTTTAAAACAGATCACAGTTTAAATTGTGAAAGTACATATTATGTATGCTAGTCATGTACTGTTTTTCCTAACTCTGCATAGTGTGCCTGGACAAGCTAGTTCTTCAATACGTACCATTATATTCTGCATATTGAAATGTATCAGTTTACTCCCTCACTCTAACCCGGAATGGTTCCTTTAAATGCATGTATATTAAGAATGTAAAATAATCCTATGATTCCCTCAAAGGAAACTAGCATATCTTTTTCCCTAAAAAGAAGGCAGGAGGGAAATCCAAGGGAAGGCTGGAAGTTGCACTTTTTTGTTTCAAATATTCAAGCCAGCAAAGGACTTTTTCCAATTTTGATTAAACATTACAAATTTTAAGACTTTATAGAACTCTATTTTTTTTTTCCAGAACAATTTTTCCTCTTCAGATCATCCTGCCTGAAATGACGTATGTCAAAATACATGTAAAAATCATTGGAAAATAATGCTAGAACAGAAAAATGATTTTTAAAGATCTGCATATTCTCAATATACATGAACTTGTTTACCTCACAAGTACCATTATTTTAGTAACACAATCCTACAAGAATGTAGAATACAGTGGGAAAATGCCACAATCATTATTGACAATCTAATCAATGTGTCATTAAAGTG